GATGCTACAACCACAAACATCTGTGTGTTTTATCGGGATCTAATGTGATCAAACTCAAATAAGTTAAAGTGCCGTGTATTCAACCCTGAAATCAACTCTTTGTTATAAAACAGCTTTGCTGCAGCTACAGCTGCCAGTATCTTGGAGTTTGTCTCTTAGGCTACGTTCACACTGCAGGCCTTAATGCTCAATTCCGATTTTTTTGTGAAATCGGATTTTTTTGCGTGTCCGTTCACACTTCCAAGTATATGCGACTTGTATGTGATCTACTGTGTGAACTGAAAGCGTTCAACCGAAGTGTCCCGCATGCACACTCGAGGACGCGATGACGTCACATGTAGCAAGCGTCCTCAGTGTTTGCGGAAGTAAACATGACTCGTAATACCGCAGTGTATATTGCGTTCTTTAAGTTCTTCTCCAACAGGAGCAGGCACATTACAAACGAAATCTTTTTAAGAAGATCAAAAAGAAAGAGAGCCAGGTTCCGGTAAGACCCTTCGAGTTTGATCTGAATCGAGCTATCATTCCAAATATGAATTAAGTCAGCAACCTCACTTTCTCTCCATTGACTGCTCTCTGTGTTATCTTCCGCAATGGTTGTTAGTTTTTCCCGCCTCCGCTTAGTAGGACGCAGATTAGTAACGTTTAGTAACATTTGTCAAGTATCAATGACGTGTAGGTCGGATGAATGCGACCTGGCCGTACAGACACAGGTCGCATTTGAAAAGATCAGATACGTATCGGATTCGGGACCGCATATCCAAGTGGCCTGGGTCGCATTTGAAAAAATCCGATCTGTGTCGTTCAGACTGTCATAAAAAGATCTGATACAGGTCAAATATGGGCAAAAAAATCGGAATTGGGTCACTTCAGGCTGCAGTGTGAACGTAGCCTAAGATGTCTTTCAAAGAAGCTCAAGCTACACCAGATTGGACAGCCATATTTTAGTTTTTCCGTTGATTGGAATTGGAGTTGGAATGGAGTCTAAACTTTGACTTGGCCCTTTTCATGCATTCATAACACCCTGGGTCTGCAACGTGTCATTCTGGTACCACATTGGTCACATATGGACTTTGGCCATAAATGTTAGACTTGGGTAATATTTATTGCATTTTTCAGTGGTTTTCTTACAATATTGCAATCAAATTTCCACAAAAAATGGAAATGATACAAGGATTTTTTTTCTCTAGCTCCTAAACTAAGGTTCTGTGTTTATTTTAACCATGAAGATTCAAGAAAATAATCTTATTGTATTTTTGTAAACCCAAAATCAGATCAGAAATACTTTAAATGAGATGCATTTATTATATAGTTTTTTTTAACTGTAAAGCAATATACAGAGGTGTTCTTCAAAGGGTCAGAAGTGTTATGGCTTCTGACAAAGTCTGTTTAAGTATAAATGCTAAAATGTCTGTTTAATTTGTAAATGGGGCTGACCCCCAGATCTATAACATTTGTTTGCAATCGTGGCTTTATGTTAGTCATTTGCAGCCTTCAAGGCTGTTTTTTAGTGTGGCCCGTAGCATAATGCTGCCATCAATATGCTTCACGGTTGACTGGTGTAGTTAGGGTGATTCTTTTTTTCTGGTGTGTTTTATTATGGTAAACTAAAAAGGTAGCAGAGATAATTACAAAAATGTGAAAACTTTACTCGTGAGATGACTTCTAAAACTATCTGTTTAACTAGATTTTATTGGAAGGTGTCAGAGTAAACGGTTCCAAACATTATTTAAAAAAAATGTTTTTTTCTTTGACCCAAAGAGTTTGAGTTCTGATGTCTTAAGCCAATGGAGGCTCATCCTCCCTGTTGAATATAGTGTTGAGTCAGATGCAGATCAAGGACCCACCCATCGATCTTCTGGGTTGTTGGTCCGTTGTTGGTCCGTTGTTGGCCATTTTAATTGTTATTAGAAGTAAATAATTAAGAGGAGTAAAAAAGTTTGTCTAAGTCTAAAAACTGAGTCAAAGTCCGATTGACTCCAATTTAATCCAGTTTAATGACCCAGATGACAGAAAGTTTGCACAGGCAGGTTCTGACCATGAATATGCCTATGCTGCTTCACATTGATGCACTTTGCGCTAATAAACATTGAGATCTCATGTTGTTATGCTGGCAGGTTTTTTGCCCACCTGCCCGGCCATTGTTGGGTTGATTCTGCAGAATTACTCTGCAAAAGTTTATGTTTTTTGTTTTGTTTTTTCTCCTGTTTACATGTTGGCCAAAGGATTACTGTCGTATGAGGCAGATTTACGTAAGCCATTAAGCACATTCTCTGGCATGGGCCAGAACTCTGTAATTCTTCAAGCTATTGCCAACAAAAATCAACATCATTACTTTGCTTGGTCATAATGGCATCAGTTTCTTCTTTTGATTAATTTTTTTTTTCTTTGAGTATTCACTTTGCTGCGATACAGTACACATGACGACAGTGATCATATCTCCCTGATATAAATAAAAGTCAGAGATATTTTGCGTTGCTCTCAGATGGAACTTTTTCCGGCACATTTAGATCAACTCGTGAATAATAACCCTTTTCTTCTAATGTTTTCAGATACGTGTTGTATCCTCTGGACTTGTACAACGACAGCGCACACTATGCTCTGACCAAATTTAAGAAGCAGTTCCTTTATGATGAAATCGAGGCGGAGGTAATGATCTGTTGATGTGTTCTGGTTGTTGTGATGTTCCTTTACGAAAGTGCGATCTATTGTATGTGGGTGGGAAAAAAGCTTTATGACAAAACATTCTTTAGTAATTTTATGCATCATAAATCCATGCATCAGCTCTCTCTGGTAATCTCTGCTGCATATCTCTTATTAAGTCATTGCATAAGAGTTGGACTCATTTATATGGAGTGACATCAGCTTTTTTTCCTTTAAAATCAAATTGATTAAATTGATATTTCAAAAACAAAATAACTTCAGACTGATTTTTCAAATTCAGAGCTTTAGTTCTGTTTACAAGGCTTTCTAAAAATACTTGTATATTTTTTTTATTTTTATTTTTTTAGGTCAACTTGTGCTTTGATCAGTTTGTTTACAAACTGGCTGATCAGATATTCGCCTACTACAAGATACTCGCCGGAAGGTAAGAGCTTTTGTTTTCCCCTTTTCAGTCCATGTCCAGGAAGTCTTTTTATACAGCAGATCAATCATAAAAAATAAAAGATTTTATAGGATTAAATGATTGGTTGATCTGGCGGATTGAAAGGCTCTAAAAAGGAAACAGAGATGATCAAAAGTTTCTGTACTCGAATCATAATTGTCACAATATCTTTGTACTTTTAATGATGTTTGTTTTTGTTTTGTTTTTTGTAGATTAAACAACAGATAACTTAAATTAATTAAAGAAAAATAATTTATTGCTCAAGATTAAACTTCTTATTCTTTTTTTTTACATGGGTTCAAAATCATGCCCACTATACAGACTCAAACGTGCATTGATTAATTTCAGTCTGTAAGTTGCAGAAAGCATACATCTTCTCGCTATTAAAAATCTTCTGGTGGAATATTTATCCCCTCTTATTATCTAAACTGATAAAGTTCATTTGAATTGGTACCTCCATCCCAAACGCAGCTTTGATTAACATTTAAGATCATTGTCTGTTTGCAGCGTCTAAGTTTGTCCAGGTTTTGACAACATAGCTGATGGTTTGATATAAAATGAAATGACTAGAAGGTATTCCACCTTTGCTATTTATTCACTCATGATACTGCCGCCACCGTGCTCCTCTAAAACCAGCTCAGTCTTCATCCCCTCTGAGTAATAAACCTTCATCCTGAGACATTTGTCCGTACTCTATTCTGGAGCAGATTAACTGATTTTGGGTCGGCAAACTCTCACTTAAAGCCTCTTTGAAGCGCATAAAGAAACTGCTGTTTAAGTTTCTGATAAGCATGACTCTTGGTGCTTTCGGACCAAGAGGGTCATTTGAGTCAAGTGGTTGAAGTTTGAACAGAAGTGGACAATAGTTGGGCCACATCACAGCATCTCAAGGAAATAAAAACAACTCCAGTATTAAATTTAAGTTCAGTGTTTATTTGGGTCTCTTTAGAGAGGATATACTGTATAGAATAAGCAAGATGGAGTTTCTTTAAAGTGGAACCCAAACCAGATGTAAAAGCATAATCCAACACCCAGACCAAATTTAAAAACACCCACCAGAGTAACCAGTACCCAAATGTGGAGATAAGTGGAACAGTTGTTGATGAGGGTGGCGAAGAATAGTGACAGTGAATTCATGACTGTATAATCTGAGCACCTGAATTAAAAAGCCCTGCTTACTAACAGGGATTAAATCAATGAAATGACTGCAGAATTAAAAATGTTTACATAAAAATGTCCAAACGTGGACAGTAACATAATGATAACACTCTTAAAGCCCAATTTATACAGTTTGTCTTAAAAGAAAAAGGTTGATTCGAGGATGATTGAGCCTCTAACTGGCTTTTTGTTCCTGTTAGCCTGTTACAGCTGTGCATAAATACATTTATTTACACTTGGAAAACTAAAAGTGGTTAAATGTTTTTCCTTACCACAGTCCAGCCAAATAAACCAGCTGCTCATTTCATACTTTTCATACATGCAGGGCTTTATGTAAAAGTTACAGGCTAAATGTCCATGAACATCTGTAATATTTAGGACTTTGTGTGCATCTTCTAAAATCAAATACAAACAGCATAAAAATAAAACAACAAGCCGGTCCCATCTAGGCTTAATCGGAGAAAATGACAGACGAAGTGTGCTCCATATGTCCAGTCTGCTCCGTAGCTTTGTTTTGGTCGCTGTAACCGCAGAAAATCCCGCTTCACAAAGATAGGATGTTATAGATAGGATGAGTCTTGAACTGAATTAACCTGTGACAAGAGGCACAGATGCACCGACTGATGTAATTGGGAGAGAATACAGCATTTTTTTATATTTTTCAAAATAAAACATCACTCAGACTCTGATCGTCGATAAATTATATATATATATATATATATATATATATATATATATATATATATATATATACTTTTTTTCTGTGCGGCCCGGTACTAAATGACCCACGGACTGGTACTGGTCTGCGGCCCGGTGATTGAGGACCGCTGTTCGAAAGCATCCAGGGATATTTTATTTCTTTTTTTTAGCTGGTGTATCAGTCAAATTTCATTATGGTTGCAAAATGGCAATAAATGCTGTTGATTCCAGGTTGCTGATTTGTTCTGATGGTTGATGTGGAGCGCAGAAAAACAATTATAGAAAGAATTTTTAAACCTTAAAAAAAAAAATGACATGAAAGTATGAAATAATGTGTGCATATTTTATCTAAACTACTTCCTTTGAATCCTTTAGTCTTCTACTGGATAAACGTTTGAGAGCCGACTGCAAGAACCAGGGCGCCAACATTCCCTGGCCTACATCCAACCGCTACGAGACGCTGCTGAAGCAACGCCATGTCCAGGTGAGTTCTCTACCTGCTGCATACTTTGTGGTTTCACCTTCACTGTCTTTCCCTCCCTCGGTCCGTCCATCCCTCACTAACAGAACGTTTGTCTCAGCTCCTGGGCCGCTCCATTGATCTGAACCGACTCATCACCCAGCGCGTTTCGGCAGCTCTTCACAAATCACTGGAGCTCGCCATCAACCGCTTCGAGAGCGAGGACCTCACCTCCATAATGGTGCGTCACCTCAGCCCTCTGCAGGACAAAACATTCTGCATGTGGTAACTGTTGTGCTGGATTTTTATAGGAGCTGGAAGGTCTCCTGGAGATCAATCGCATGACGCACAAACTCCTCAGCAAGTTCTTGACCCTGGACAGCTTTAATGCCATGTTCCGCGAAGCCAACCACAACGTGTCTGCTCCGTACGGCAGGATCACGCTGCACGTCTTCTGGGAGCTCAACTACGACTTCCTGCCCAACTATTGCTACAACGGTTCTACCAACAGGTGGGCTGGTTTGGACTATAATATATATGCTGCCTTTTGTTCTTAGGCTGCTTTACTGATTGGTCAACAATACATAAAAAAACTGTTGGAAGACAGAAAATGTGTTGTGGATGTCTTAGTGTAGCTCACTAAGATTGGAGTTACACAGAAAATATTTCAAAATGTAAACATGAGTATCACTGAAAGGTCAGGGGGATCAGTTTGGGTCTAAACAATTAAATGAAAACGGTCAACTCAGCAGAAACAAAGCCTGAAACCAGCTGAGCTGCAGCAGTCAGAGTCGATCTGCTCACATTTCTAAAAATAAAAACTCAAATTAAAGGTGTTTGTGGTGCATTGTTAATGTCCTAAATTTGATTTTGGATTTAAAATCTAATATCAAAACAGCCTGTTTTATTTTACTGTTAAGTCTCAGTTTTTGTGACAGTATTAGTTGCCTTTAGAGGAGCAGGAAGTGATGGAGACACCTAGTGTTTCAAATTGGAACTGTTTTAAACCAATCCACACCCTCAGCTCATGTAAAATAAAACATTAATCCAGGTTGCCATAAAATAAAATACTTAATTTTATCCCTAAGCGATTAAAGCATACTAAACTATATAGTGTAAAATAATAAATATTGTCAAGAGAAGGGATGCATTTACCTTCTCTGTAATATGCTTTGTCATCTGGCACGCTAAGAGGAGTCTGACAAAGTCTGATTGCACCAAGTTTGTTCTGTCATTCTTCATTATTTACTATTTATGATGGTTAGCAAAGATTATCCTTAAAGCTACCAAATCCATGCATGTTTATTTCTTTGTTTTTAGCTCCATGTCATCTGTTTCTGTGTAATGTAACCAGCTGTTTATGTTGGCGTCATTTTGAATAATCGCCTTCTGTGCGTTCAGGTTTGTGCGCACCATCCTGCCCTTCTCCCAAGAGTTCCAGAGGGATAAGCCCCCCAACGCTCAGCCCCACTATCTTTACGGGTCAAAGGTCAGTGTGTTTCTCTGAGGATGACTCGCTTCACTGTGTTCCATAAGCAAAGGATAGACTTCTGTCATGATCGGACCAGCTGTGCAGAAGCACATGTTCAAACTAAAGGTTAACTGCAGGTTGATAAGGTCACTGTAGAATAGGAAGGAAAGGACGTTTCGATATAGGAAGCTTTACAGAGTCTTAAAGCTTAAAGTCTTATGCAAAAAGTTGAGTGGGAAAAAAAAAGCTCCTCCAAAAACTAGTGGAGCAGAAAGTTTAATAAGACCTTTTAGTAGGTTTGTAGTTCTAGTGGAGCGATTGACTGTAACGGCTTATATGTTTAGATTAATTTACTTAGAATGGTACAAATATATCGTTTTGAATGGATCTTGAGAAAACATCTATTCCTGTAAACACAAATAGGATTTTCATTGAGTGGGTAAAACGATGAGCGATAATTCAGCTGGGGCAGAACAATACTGTGATGACCTTAATCCAGTCGATTAATGCTGGCTCTCTGTCAGCCAGCTTAGCTCTCATGCTCCGGGGTAATTACATGTCCAGCGGGCTGCGCCAGCATCAGCGAGGACTGCATGGCTGCGCCCCGTTTGATACTTTCCTCGCTGCCGCTTCTGACCGCGAAGAGGTGCCCCGAGCTGGACATGTCTTGACGCACGGAGGAGGTGACAACAGGGCGGCTCTCTGGAGTTCTACCTGGCAGGTAGCACATGTTGTGAAGGCATCCCCACATCAGGATGCCGGCGATGACCAGCAGCAAGAGGCAGCAGGTCAGCCACACGCCCACAGCCAGCTCCCAGCCCGCCCGGTCGTGGCCTTCGCTGTTTTCGCCTGGGGTGCTGAACACCTGGCACTGTTCCCGCACGGGGTCGGCGGCCTGGCACGTCACACAAAGGAAGTAGGCGGTTTGGGGCAGGAGGTTGCCCAGGTATGTGCTGGTCTGGGTGACGGGGATGCGCTCCTCGTGCCTGAAGCTCTTTCGCTTGTAGCCCATGATGAGGCTGTTCCAGTTGGGGTCGTACATGACGCTGTAGAAGGTGTCCAGGCAGGTTGGCAACGCCGGCCAGTTCACCCTGGCTGAGGTGGAGGAGATGTTGTAGACCGTTACTCCCATTATGAAGCAGCGGTTCCCAGTCCCATCAAAGAGCTTCCTGTTTGGTTTTAAAGCTGTTGGCTCGCAGCTTTTAATCAAACTGTAAAAAAAATAAAAATAATAAGAAGAAGGCGATGAAAATGCTGATTAACAACAAAATATCCACCACAGTCACTCTATTTCACTATAACATGTTAACTCGAAGAAAATCTGATGGCGGCGATCGCCTACCGCCTCTTTGAAGCTTCAGTAATAAAATTAAGTAAAATTCCTGAATCAAAGATAAAAGAAATAGGAAATTAGTGATGAAGACGTTTTGTTCAGGCTCTTTTCTTTACTCACACTGCAAAGAAAAAGATAAAAACGGATACTGAAATACTGGAAATTTGGACATTTAATATAAGAAATAAACTCTCAGAATAAATTATCTAACGCTTACAAATGTGAGATATTATACAGTGAATCACAGTAAAAACAAATAAATCCGTATTTTTCTTTAAATAGGTGTATCCTTTCCTTCAATTCAGCAGGTAAGGCAGTTTCCCAACGGAATTAGATTATTGATCTTTAAAGTAAGAAAAAAACAATTTGATTATCTTAATTATGGTGTATGGTATTTAATAATGTTAATAATGTCTAAAATGTATTCTCAATTTAGTTGCCTAATCTCTGTATTTAGCTGCTTAAATAAAGGAGGATTAAGGACTAATACTTATTTTATAAAGTTTTGTTTTTTAGATAATTTTTTTAGTGCATGTAGAGTTATGTGAAGCAGACCTTACACACTACAAAAGTGAATATAAAGTAATATTTTTATATAATAATTATATTTGATTTGAGTAGGTGGGTAAAATATGCCGGTGAAAAAAAATCCTCTCCATGATCTTATTTCCAGTGTGGTTTGTATAATTATCTTATTTTAAAGGCCAGAAAACTCATTCCATTGGCAGATAGATACACGTATCTACTCAAAAGAAGGGCATAAGCACTTATTTCAAGAACATTTACCTTATTTTTAGATCAATATTTGCAGTGAATAAATAGTTTCCTTAATGAGAAGTTGGTAATAGTGGTGAGAAAAAAAATCACACCAGCTGCAAAGTCTTGAGTTAATCAGCTGCTATTTGAAAACTTTCTTTAATAGAACAATTTTAAATCCTGACTGCCTGAAAGATCAGATACCTACAGCTTAGAATTTCTGTAAAAGATGTAATGATGGCTTTCTAATCTGGTTTAAACCATTTATAACAAATATCCTGTCCAGAAACCAAAGGCTATGGAAACAGGAAACCCAGGATTTTGTTGTTAAAGGCAGGTATAGCGTCTGAAATGAGAAAAGACATTTCTGCAAAGTTGCATTAAAGATATTTTAAAAGTTATATTTGTAACCTATGGAGGTATAAAACACACTGCTTGTTTGTGTAGCATTGAAATCACCAGGCCTCAGGTCTGTGGAGTGGAAGCAGGTCTGTTTGATGTCTCTCTGTTCATCTTTACAGGATTTTGGGTGTAGGCAAATTACGTTGCCATGGTTACTATGTGCTGCATGTTGCAAAGAGCTTTTTTCCCCCCATTCATTGCCAAGCAGGCTTCAGTGTTTGTTTCGCAGAGCCGTCTGTTTCTGCATGATTCAAGAAAGTTGATTTATTTTACTTTTTTAAAAAAGGAGGAAAATTATTGGAAATAATACCGAGCATTTTATGATGGATTATGTTGGAGATTGCGGGAGGCAGATGAAGATGTGTGCAGATGTTTGCTGGATTACATAACATAGGATTGTTGTTGTAGAGGCTTATCTTTACTCCCTGTCCCCTTTCATGTCGAAGGTGATGATCTGCATGCCCTAAACCAGCATTAGAAAAACCTTTCTGATCCAAAGGAAATGCGGAAAGATGCGATTTTAAGGGAGGATTAAGAATCCGGTTTGATTCAAAACTTTTTGGATAAGAATCAATATTAAATAAAGTATCAGGAAACTTTGCCTCCTCTTATAAAGAATAAGTGATTGCTTTACTTATCCTTTTTTTATTTAATGGATCTCTAATCCTTGGATATGTTTTAGTCTCTCTGAATTATAAATTGTAAGATTAAAACATTTGAATACATTTAATTTAATCCAACAAGAACATGTATTTGAACCTGACTTTTTAATTACTATTATTTTTTGTCCATCAGATTTATCACCTTTACATAACAGCAGTAGTGAGATTTTTCTGTGTATAATAGTTCACAGCATATCATTAAAGGCAAACTTACCAGGAAAATGGCACCAGTTTGGGATGATCATCCCAGTGCGTCGTGTCTCAGCAGATTAAAAACACCAGTCGATTCTGGTGTTCGGTCATCGCTGCCATCATCAGCAAACGGAGATGCTGGATGCCGAAGTGTGGGATTGAAGCAGAGATCAGCGGCTCTTTATCTCAGATTCTGCAACAGTAGAGGGAGCGTTAGTGGATTAGAGCGATGGCAGGAGAGGGAGCTAAAATCTCCTGTTATGGATGAGAAAAAAAGTACATTTTCCATCCATGGGTCAGCCCCCTCACAGGGATTGTTTGCTGCTTCCTTTAGGCCTTGCTAGCTCATCTAGTGACATTGTGATGATGCAGATCATTTAATTTCCTGTTGACCAGGAAGGTGGCGTGGGATAAATCTCGGACATTTATAGATTTTTAAAAGAAAATGCAGACTTAAACCTTAAAGAACGAGTTCATGTTAAGCTGTCAGCCGTATAGATTAGTCAGGTCCTGGTTAGACAAAGATTACAGACCCGAAAGAAAAGATCTGAGAAACGAATGGAGAATATGGTGTTTTCATGTAGTGACTTTACTTTTGGAGAATTTTAGTTCATAAAAGATCAACTTAAAGTTGTAAATTTTTTTATTGTATGTTTTTGTTTTTAAGGACAACAGTAGTAAAGATTAAATGATCTCTGTCACTGAAAATGTATTACTGTGGGCCTGATGTTAAAAAAAAAAATACAGCAAAATTACAGCAATTATATTCTACCAGGAGGTTTGCTGGTAGAAAGACTGATGCAATTAAACTTTTAAATGTTTTTTTTGAATATTTTTTAAGTTAAGGCTATAAAGTCCAGAATGCAGCAGAGAAGAAAAATGAAACGATTTGAGAGGTTTTCCATCTTCTGCTGCTTTTTCTACTGTTTTTACGCTGGTTTAGTTAAATATAGGTTGGTTAAGGTTCATTTTGTTTAAAATATTCTTATGTTGAGTTTAAATTAATGCAACAGTAATTATAGATGTTGATCTCCTTTAAAGACTGTATGCTTGCATCTGGAAATACCTTCAACAAAGAGCAGATTGTTTGTAGCATATGGTCTGATTTCTCCCTGATTGTTTTCTACCCCCTTTTTCTGACTGCAGACGCTGAACATGGCTTACAGCAGCACATACAGCACCTACAGGAACTTCCTGGGCCCTCCACACATTAAGGTCATGTGCAGACTGCTGGGCTACCAGGGCATTGCTGTGGTGATGGAGGAGCTCCTTAAGGTCGTCAAAAGTCTGGTGAGTGTGATCTGCAGCACTTCTGTTGCTTTAGTTTGGACGTCCTGCATCATGACTGGCTCCCTTTGAATCATTCAGCTTCAGGGCACCATACTGCAGTATGTGAAGACTCTGATGGAGGTGATGCCCAAGATTTGCAGACTTCCACGCCATGAGTACGGGTCACCCGGTAGGTGATAACACAGATCCAACAGAAACCCTGCTGTAGATGTAGATGGAACATAACTCGTATTTTTCTGAATGCATAATGTTGCATCTTGCATAATATAAAAATCCTTTAATGATCAATTAGTGTTGGTGTATTTATTTTCTTAAAACATGCATGCATCGTTTTATTTCAGGCATCCTGGAGTTCTTCCACCACCAGCTGAAGGACATTGTAGAGTATGCAGAGCTAAAGACGGTGTGTTTCCAGAACCTCAGGGAGGTGGGCAACGCCCTCCTCTTCTGTCTGCTGAGCGAGCAAAGTCTGGTACGGAAAAAAAACGGGATTCGGCTGCTTTAGGATGTCTCTTTGCTTTGCAGATGTTTACCTTTATTTTTTTTTATCTTACAGTCTCAGGAAGAAGTTTGCGATTTGCTTCATGCTGCACCTTTCCAAAACATTCTGCCCCGAGTCCATGTCAAAGGTAAGCTCCTTAAAATCCTTTACAATTCATTTATTCAAGGTAAGGCGCCCTCACTCTGTTTGGATTATTGTTATAATGCTAAAACATGCATTGTTGGGTAGATGTAGATGCAAATGTCTAAAATCTGACAGCAGTTACAGGGTTTCTGCGGGTCATTAAAAATCATTAAAAGTCATTAAATTATAATTTTTTTTAATTAAGGCCTTAATTGGCATTAAAATTCATTAAATTTGATAATCGTTGCCTTAAAATGCTTAGGAAAAGAAGCTTGAGGCGGAGAAAAGGCCAGAGAATGGGGAAAATGCAAATTTTAACCAAAGTGGCGGGAAAACGAGGAACTTGGGACATGGCTGCAGCTTGTCCACCATGAAGATGACTAAGGATTTTGTCATGTATATGTATATGTATATATATGTATATATATGTGTGTGTGTATATATATATATATATATATATATATATATATATATATATATATCATGGGTACTTGTTGATGGCATTAAGATTATTTCAAGAGCATTAAAAAGCATTAAATAAGAGTTACTCATTCATGTTTAAACCCTGAGTTATGACAGCAGAGTAAAGTCCTGCTTCTGCGTTCTTTTTGTCAGAGAATGCTTTGCATTGTATTTATAAATTGTATAACTTTTTATTTATTCATTCATTTTTCCATTTCCTGTGATTAATAAAATCAGAGTGTTTTCTGATTTTAGAGAAGAGTCTTTTCTATTCAAATAAATGACTTGGTGAAGATTCTCAGTCGTCCAGGTCATAGTCATTCCAAAATAAAAGTAAATTAAAAACAATTCACTGGACTTCAATTCCAAGTTGCACTTCCCATCCAGAAAGCTTTTTCAGTTCAAAATGGCAGAAATAGTGTTGAGTTCGAGGTTTTATACAGTAGCCCATCAAAACTTTGTTTTTGTTTTGAAAACATGCAAATAGTAGGGATGGAACGGTTTATGAAAACCGTCAGAACCGTTCGGTTCGACTGTCTCGGTTCGATTCGCGTGTGTTTCGTTTGGTTCATGCGCCGCTGCTCCTTTTTCTCATAGGCGAAGCGTTTACACTCCAGAGCAGAAGGTGGCGGTACTGCGACCAAAGCCAACCACCAGTAGTAAACAAGAAGAAGAAGTGAAGCAGCTTAGCAGAAGCTTAGTGAAGCAGTGTAGCAGAAAAAAATCAGTTGTTGTGGAGAATTGTGTTGGTATGGCGAGTGGGAAAGAACAGGAGTTGGAAGACGCGCCAGCAGCACTTTATAGGTCTGCTGTATGGGACCACTTTGCATTTAGAGTGACCTACGATGACGGCGGGAAGAAAGTTGTGGATAAAAACAGTGTGCAAGCATTGTGCAACACGTTTTGTTTATGCTAACAGCAACACGACCAACATGTCAGGCTAACAATCAACATATACAGAACCAAACCAAAAACCGTGACCACGAAACTGTGAACCGAACCGTGGATTTTGTGAACCGTTCCAACCCTAGCAAATAGAAAAGGAATGGGGGTTGTTTGGCTTCTTTTGTTAGCCTGCAACGCCCCATACCTGTCTATGTCTCTGAAAGGGTCGTTAAAGGGAATTATTGGCCTGGCTGAATAGGCGAGGTCCTCCTGCGATGATAGCGGGGAGGGGTTATCTCTATTGCTCTTGAATAAAGGCACTATATAAGTACATACCATTTACCATTGTAGGTTTTTGAAAGCTGAAAGTTGAGTCCACCTGCTCTGTTTAAGGTTGGCTTTTCTTTCTTAACATAGATTGCTTCCTTTACGCCATTCTCAAACCACCTATTTTCTTAGGAAGAAGAGAAAAAAAATAGGTGGTTTGAGAGGGGAGTGAAGGAAGCCTATGTTAAGAAAGAAAAACCAAGTTCCCGAGCCTGTCAGTCTAATATTTCTAAATGCATACTGCCTTTATGAGAACATTCTGGAATTTCTTTCAAAACATCCACTTTTCTTTTACTCCCCAGTTTTTTTTTTTTATTCCAGGGGTTACAGTATTAAAAGTCGCTTACTACAGATGATTTACAGAAAAAATGAATAAATAAAAGCAGATTTGTTTCTAAATGTTCCTACACGCCTCCATTCAGTAGTGATAAATGCCTTTTCTCTGTGTTTTGCTTGCTGTGTAGAAGGGGAACGCCTGGATGCCAAGATGAAGCGCTTGGAGGCGAAATACACGCCGCTGCACATGGTTCCTCTCATCGAGCGCCTCGGAACACCTCAGGTAACACCAGCGTGAACATTTCACGAGGGAAAACCTTCTTTCCAGAATGGACATCATCTCACCATTGTCAGTGACATGACAGGAGGATTATTTCTCTTTTTCTTTTAGCAAATAGCCATTGCGCGTGAGGGAGACCTCCTGACCAAAGAGAGGCTGTGCTGCGGCTTGTCCATGTTTGAGGTCATCCTCACACGTGTGCGTGGCTTCTTGGACGACCCCATCTGGCGTGGCCCGCTGCCCAGTAATGGTGTGATGCACGTGGACGAATGTGTGGAGTTTCACCGCCTCTGGAGCGCCATGCAGTTTGTTTACTGCATCCCTGTGGGAGCCCATGAGTTCACTGTGGAGTAAGTGCAGAATCTGCTCTCCTCTCTGCTCAACCAACAGACCAGCTGAGTAATTTTCCTTCCTTCCTTCCTCCAGGCAGTGCTTTGGAGATGGTCTCCATTGGGCGGGCTGCATGATTATCGCCCTACTGGGACAACAGAGACGATTTGACATCCTGGACTTCAGCTATCACCTGCTCAAGGTGCAGAAGCACGACGGCAAGGATGAGATCATAAAGAGTGTGGTGAGTAGCTGACCTTGACTCTCCTTTATTCAGTATCAGCATTTAAATAGAAGTCTGTGGACAGTGTGAGCGAAATTATTTTCTGATGGACCAGTCGGTAATTGGGGCTAGTTCTGCTGACTGGTACATTTCTCAGTCAGTCTTTTGATTTTATTTATTACGTGATTCACACATTTCAGCGTTAAGGTGAGATGTGTCTGTGTGTTTGGGAATAAAATGTACCGTTAAAGAAAAAGAAAAGGAACACATTTGGCCCACTAGCAGTTTAATGGAGTTTGTTTTATTTTAAAATAAAAGTAAAAACTTTCCTAACGTGGAATTTGCCTCGACAGATTAAGGTATTTCTTTTTAGAAATTTAGGTCCATAAGAATAAAACTGTGCTTCTGTTTTATTAACCACAGTTTCTACTTTCCTCTTAGTTTAATAGGCAGTATGACCCGAAACATCAATTCAGTTTATTTATATAGCGCCAATTCACAACATGTCATCTCAAGGCACTTTACAGTTCAACCAGATCATCCAGTCAGATTGATTCAAAGTTTTCTATCAAAGGAAAACCAGTTGATTGCGTCGACTCAATGACTCAAATGCAATCCCTCACACTAAGCATGCTTGTAGCGACAGTGGAGAGGAAAAACTCCCTTTTAACAGGAAGAAACCTCCAGCAGAACCAGGCTCAGTGTGAGCAGCCATCTGCCGAGGCTGACTGGGGTTCAAGGAGACAGAAGCAGAGAAACAGAAAGCAGCTGTAAAAGGCGGCCCCGTCCAGGAAACACACAGCCAGGCAGACGGGCTCCAAGGCAGCCAGTCACAGTCAGAGAAACAGGACTACACTGAAAAAGAGGCCGATATCGAACATCTATAAACAAAGATGTTGATTAAAGCAGCACAGCTGATATTTCTCTCCAGGATGGAGTCACAGCCAAACAGGAACAGATGAGGCAAAGCTACTATGAGAAAAAGCAGAGAGCAAAACGTTTGAACTAACAGATTCTGCAGAGTGGGAGAATAGAGATAGAATGAAGCAGAATTAGGAAATAGGGGGCCCTATGTCCTCCAGAAGTCTAAGCCTATAGCAGCATAACTATAGAGATAGGGATTAATATATATACACTACAGTTCAAATATACGGGGTCACATTGAAATGTCCTTATTTTTTAAGGAAAAGCATTGTACTTTTCAATGAAGATAACTTTAAACTAGTCTTAACATTAAAGAAATACACTCTATACATTGCTAATGTGGTAAATTCTAGCTGCAAATGTCTGGTTTTTGGTGCAATATCTACATAGGTGTATAGAGGCCTATTTCCAGCAACAATCACTCCAGTGTTCTAATGGTACAATCTGTTTGCTCATTGGCTCAGAAGGCTAATTGATGATTAGAAAACTCTTGTGCAATCATGTTCACACATCTGAAAACAGTTTAGCTCGTTACAGAAGCTACAAAACTGACCTTCCTTTGAGCAGATTGAGTGTCTGGAGCATCACATTTGTGGGGTCAATTAAACGCTCAAAATGGCCGGAAAAAGAGAACTTTAATCTGAAACTCGACAGTCTATTCTTGTTCTAAGAAATGAAGGCTATTCGATGCAAGAAATTGCTAAGAAATTGAAGATTTCCTACAACGGTGTGTACTACTCCATTCAGAGGACATTTGCGTAAAGCAAAGCCTACAGCCTAAGTCTTGCTGAGCTCTGATTTCTCTGAGCAAAAGGAGAGCATGCGCTGTACTATTATTAAATTTATAGGAGCAAAACATGTGGAAATGTAATGAAATATATTTTAAAAAATCCCTATCAGCTTGCATTGGTGCCATTTCTGCCCAAATATTTTCTTTTTGTTGTGGACTTTAGTAACAGGGTAACTAGAATAATTGAATACTGCTTTTTTCATTACCTATGTTTATTCTCTACTTCCAAACTCAGCATCTCTTCATCTGTGCCTGCAATACGAAGTTTCTTTTGACTGGATTTGATTAAACTTTTAAGCCTCTTTGTATAAAATAAATATTTTGATGGAGATGAGAAATATGTTTTCTGGTATGTTGAAGTACCAATAGTTTGCATCCAATCATTTCAGCTTAGTTTTTGGGAATTTATAAGAATTATGCTCTGATTTGTAGTTACCGATCTGTCGTTAGAATATTTTAATTAGAGGGGCTCTTAATTAAAGCATTTTAATTGAGAAAATGTAATATTTTCTTTCTCTAGCCTCTGAAGAAGATGGTGGACCGAATCCGCAAATTCCAGGTCCTCAACAACGAGATCTTTGCCATCCTGAACAAATACATGAAGTCTGGAGACGGAGAGAACCTGCCGGTGGAACACGTCCGCTGCTTCCAGCCACCGATCCATCAGTCGCTCGCCAGCAGCTGAGGAGTTATCGCTCCTCTGTCCTCAACGCCGTCGGCATTCTCCACAACTTTCCATTTGCCTTCAGTGGCATAAGGACCATTTACTACAATAAGGGGCCACTTTACTTTTTTTTGTATTCACTTGTGCCTTATAAGAATAGATACTGCCCTTTTTTTTTAAAAAGAGCTATTTTGTACTTGCAGGTAGCCGTAGTTCAGGCAGGGAAATTAGTATTTAAGGGTTTGCAGTGGTGAAACAGTAAAAGGTGAATCTATTTTATGAAAGGAAAAAAAGGTGACATTATAAACATGCATGCTCCAGCGTTTTTAGAGAATACTGAGAATTAACATCCATGTCAAATTATTCACTGTGCCTTGTGTTTGAAAACTTTTAATCATTTTAATTCAATAAATATGTAACAAATCTGTTTTGTCAAGTTTCTCTGTAAAAAGTTCCCACCCACCTGCAGGAACGTTCCAAACAAATCACTTTCAAGTGTCACAAAAAAAAAAGGTCAATCATAATAAAGTTCTTGTGAGATGAAGTCATTGTCAGAAGGTCCTCAAACCAGAACATATTAGCTTTTATATTTCTGATTGCTAGAAAGTAAGTCAGTGCATTGAAATCCAGGTAGATAAAGAATTTCTGTAAAAAAATATTTACAGCTACAGAGGAACGCAGGTGAGTTAACCAGATGACAGTCTGAGTAAATTAAGGCAAATTAAAAGAAATACAATCTACTGGTCCATCTGTGTCCCCTCCCCTCACAGTTGATTGTCTCATAAGCTAACAGCAACCGCGCAAACCGTTGAGTCTGAGGAGAAAGATGTTTGTTAAGCATCTAGAGAGGAAGTCATTGCTCCGTTCCTTCTGGAGACGCTATCGAAGGGCAAAGCCCTGTCGTCCAAGTCCTCTGTGGACTCCCGCAGCAGTTCGTAGTTGCTATGGGAGGCGGTGCCATTGGCTGCCGGAGCGTTGCGCTCGTCCTTCCTTATTGAGAAGGCCAGGGTTGCCAGGCTGACGCTGACGTCCTTGAAGGCGTGAAGCAGAAAGATGCCCACGATGATTGTGAGGAAGCCGCTGAGGGTCCCGATGACGTCGCCCGCGCCCATGTGCTCCCACTCTTTGAAGAGGATGGCGGAGCAGGTGAGCACCGACGTGGTGAAGAACACGTAGTAGATGGGCGTCACCAGGGAGGTGTTGAAGATGTCCAGGGCCTTGTTCAGGTAGTTGATCTGGGTGCTCACGCAGCCCACCAGACTCAGGAGGAGGATCCAGGACAGGGGGATTTTAAAGACGTTTTCCCCAGCGATGGCCTCCTTGATGGCGATGCCGAGTCCTTTGACACAGGACACCGAGAGCGCCCCGATTACGGAGCAGATGGTGATGTAGACGAGGATATTGGTCTGACCGTGACGGGGGGAAACCACAAAGATGAAGATGAGAGCCACGATGACCACAAGGGTGGCAAAAACTACAAACCCTTTAAAAAGGAGAAAAAAAAAAGATTTAATATTCAATCCTTTGGAAAAACATTCAGCACACTTTCACGTGTTTTATTCAGGGTTTCTGCATGCCATTAAAAATCAATAAGTCATTAAATTATATATTTTTTTAACTACGGCCCTAAGTAGCATTTAAAATGCTTTATTTTCGTCGAATATACGAGATCTAAATTGTTACACGTGTTTTTGCGTGGAACTGCTTCCGGTTTATCATAAAGCCGTATGTTTGGAAAAGAAGCCTGAGGCAGAGAAAAAGCTGGAGAATGGGGAAAATGCAAATTTAAACGAAAGTGGCTGGAAAACGAGGAATTCTAAACATGGCTGCAGCCTGTAGACGGTAAAGATGACAAAGGATTTTGCTGTGTTTTTTTATGAATGAGAGTCATGGGTACTTTTTGATGGCATTAAAAGAATTTCTAAGAGCATTAAAAAGCATTAGTTACTCATTCCTGTAAAAACCCTGTTATTACAACCACTAACTTTAAGGCATTTTGTTAGGATTTTGTGCGCAGATGTCTAAAGTTAGATCTCAAGATGCTAACAGTTATTCGTAGAAGAATAAAAAGGTGAGAAGGTTTTAAAGAAGGTGGTTTAAGTGGGTAGGAGAGAAAAAACATGCAGAAAATTTCAGACTGATGCATTCAACAGAAAAAGCAGGATTTAGATTAGATACTGTGTTTGAGTAACACTGAAAAGATGCACAACTGCCTTCAAACCATCAAATAACAGCATTTCATCAACACAGCAAAAAAAAAAAATCTGTATTTTTTAATTACAAAGATGTTAACTGTAAACAACAATGGAGGGAAAATAAAGCAACGCATGAAGCAGACAATCACTGCACTGCAAAAATGTTCTGAAAATTAGTAAACATTTATGAAAATAAGTGCATTTCACCTTAATTTGAGTAGGAAAATAAGATTATCTTTCAATTGAATGAGCTTTTTTACCCTTAAAATATGATTTAGGTATTATACACTTGAAATAAGACATAAGACCGTAAATAGATTTATATTTCAAAATGTCATTTTTCATTTCAAATGAATTTTTTTTACAGTTTAATGACGGATTAAATAGATTTATATATTAGATAAATGTTACACCAGATTATTTCTCGCTATATTTATTTATTTGGTACATTAATTTATTTTATATTCTGCTCATACACATGAGGGATCACATCAAAAGGACTGAAAACCATCTTGTGATCCACCAATTGGTGTCTTGGCGTCTTCTTTGGTAATCCCTGAGCTAGACGCTAAAGATGTGGTGCATAACTGTGTAATTAAAGAAATATAGCATATTCTTCCTTTAAAAAAATCACAATAGCAAATAGGTTTTGATTGTTTTACATTTAATTGGACTAAGACATGCAATTTATCATTCAAAGCCTTTAGATGGCGGTAATATGCTTAAAGTTAATCTGCAGCCAGACCAAAGATCTGCAGCTAGGCTGCAGATCCATGCATGCAAACTAGAAGTAAGCAGTTAAAATGTTAAAATGCAAACTGGTTTTAGCAGCACTTTATGGTCAACAAATGGATGTTCACTTTAGCAAGCTATTCTCTTTAAAGATACACAAATCAATAAGGAACATTTCAATTCCAGTTTAAATTGGACATTGTCTGCTAATTTATAGGTCTGCACATCCCTAAATGCAGCCATTTGTCGGCCGTGGTGTCATTTAGAATAAGGAACATAGCAGACGGGTCAAGGAGGAAGTTTAAAGCAACCAGAGTTGGTAAATATAAAAAATATAACAACAGGAAGTATACCAGGCTTTATACAGGACTGAGTAACTCTAATTTAAAGCTTTTTAATGCTCTTAGAAATTATTTCAATGCCATCAACAAGACTCTCGTATATGTATATGTATCTCTCGTATATATATGTATATAAAAATCAGCAAAATCAGACCCGCGCAAATATATTATTGCAATATATCTGATGAAATTTTTAAAAACTTTTTTTTTTAATAAAGCATTTTAAATGCCATGATAATAACATTTAATGAATTTTAATGCCAATTAAGGCCTTAATTAAAAAAATAATTGAACGAATGATTATTAATGAGCCGTGGAAACCCTGTATACAGAGATATCACAATACACCTATACTGAGAAAAATTGGAAAGCAGAACATAAAATTACAATCCAGGGGCCATGTTAATTCAGGAGGAGCTGCTAACTCTACAAAGAGCATAAAGATTGATAAATTGAGCCACCTGCTGCAAACCAACACTAAATACTACCATGAGCACACTGAAGCATGTAGTGGCAGCATTATGCTGTGGGGTGGTTTTTATTCAGTGGCGACAGGGAAGCTACTTAGAAATAAAAAGCTTTGAAGGACTTTAAGCTGTGGAGTTTCACCTTTGAACAGGACAGCGACCCTGAACAGCTGGTTGGAACTGCAAAGGAAGACGACTCAAAGGAGCTGAATGGAAACTACTACGAATTATTTGGAAAATCTGTTTAGTTCCCCTCAGTTTCTATGGAGTGAATTTTGTTCCATTATTTTTGCAGGCAAAGAACACATTTTGTAAATTGGGGGAAAAAAAGACACATGCAATCCAATTAAAGAAAAAAAAATATTTTCTTTCAAATTTAAAAAATTTGATTCTTTTATATTTGCATTTTCATTGGTCTGGATGGACGTTAACAAAAACATTTTTATTGGTCAAGAGTGAGCGTTTGTATTGTGCTCCGAGTGAAGAGAATGGGATCTATGGAGGGAATGAATGGAAATCGCAAACCTCAATCTAAAAAAAATGAAATTTGAAAAAATATTAAAAAAGTAAAAACTAAAAAAATTTAAATGTGTGAAAAAAAAAGAATTAAAAAAAAGTTACTTCCATGACCTTTTTTTTTTCATTTATTTAAGTTTTTCAAAGTTTCATTTCTGGATTGGATATTTTTCAAATTTCCATTTACAACACTAAATAATGGAGCTAAATGCACTCCGTAAGTTTGACACCATGTTCATCTATCACATCTATTAAATTCTAACAAATACAATAATGTATGTGACCATATTGTTGCTAAATGCCAGCGATCAGCTGATTTAAAAACACGTTTTGGTTTAAAAATCCTAACAGGATGTGTTGAGCTTTGGTTCTCTCCGTACCTGGGTCCACCAGCTTCTTGGCCATGTCCTCGAGGCTCGCGATCTCCTCCTCCTTCGGAGCGTGGATCACCATGGTGGTGGAGCCGAGGATGCTGAGCAGGCAGCCAAGCTTCCCGTGCAGGTTTAACCGCTCTGTCAGGAAGTACGACGACAGCACAGCGCTGCAAAAAAAACAAAACAAAAAAAAACACCCGTCATGGAAATTTTAAACCCAAGAGGGCACAGAAAGATGCTTTAAAAACAAAGCATGATTGTTCACTATGGATCATTTGTGCCATACCTGACGAGCACGCTAAGGGCTCCTAGAGGCGTGACCAGGGTTGCAGGAGCAAAAGCATACGCTGCAAAGTTAGCCGCTTCTCCAGCACCCACTGAAACCAAGTTAGCATACCATCAGAATGTGTCGCAATAGACTCCATTGTACTGTGCTCTAACTGGACACCTTCCCACTGCAGCACAAACACTGATGTAATTCAGTTAAGTGTCTTTTTTTATAGCTCCAGATTAATAATCCATTATCACTCACTTGATAGTAATCCAGCCCACCAGAGCCATTCTTTAAGATATGCATGACCGCCCTGCCCTGGAAAAACAGAAAAAATAAGCATCATAGTAAATATTTGATTTGGTGTCAACCACAGCGATAAAACAAAGAATAAATATAAACAAGAATCACTTTATTTAGTTTTTTTTAATCCCACTCTGATAATGAAATTAATTCTGACCTTTAACCTTTGTGTGACTTTACTTTTCCCTAAACAGTCATCTAATTTTCAGATTATTACTACAAAATGTTTACATTTCCAAACGAGGCTAAACCTGTGATTCATCAGTGTCTAATATAGAGCGGATCTAAATCAATTGGAAGTGATTATGACTGAGCCATAGGGCTTTACCATAAATTGATTTATTGATTCATTTAAGGAGGAGAATATTGATTTTTTTTTTCTCAACCAATGCACTACCGGGACTTTTATTTTTAAGAGTAATAGACCAGTTTATTGTGTAACACTAGCTTCAAACATGTTCTATTTTTCCATTGTTTACTATGGCGAAGTCTGTTACCTTGTTTAACAAGCTGCTTGGATTTAGCTGCACTTTGAATTCAGGTTCAGTCCCAGAAGGAATGACGCAACTAAAACCACCTTCCTTTTCTTTTTATCTTCTTGTTTTATTTAAACTAAATAGGGGGATATAAAATCAATCATACACAAATTTAATTTAAAAAAGCTATTTTATGCCATATTGCAAAGCTCCAATGAGGCCGCCTGGTTGCAGTTTTCAAAATGAGGCTTACAAATACTCATCCAATGAAAAGCCACAACATTTTGAAATTTTGTGCAACAACAAAGCTTTTTCTTATTTCGTCTGTAAAATTTTTGCAAAGCAGGGTTTTGTAAGACTACTGAAACTAAACCAGTAATTAAAAAAATAATCATGTTTGTTTTTCCAAAATGGATTCCAGGTTCTTCAGTGACATAAACAAAAATTATCTAAAAAGGCCTTGAATTTAAGGTTGTAGATGATTCTTAAAATGTTTTTCTTTCTATTTTGTGGTTTTGACTATAAAGAAAGTTGTATAAAAATGTTCAAAAATACTGCTAAGCAGTTGTTTGGACTCTAGTTTGGAAACATGACCAACGAGCAGCATACAAATGTTGTGTAAATGAATTTAGGATATATATATATATATATATGATGTTTTTTCTACATCCTTTTGTGATCTGAATGTTCAAACATAATCACCTTTAGATCTGAGGAAAAGTTCAAGTCAGAAGTGGATATTAATGATTACCAGCAGTATATAATGCTGCTGGTGACAAGCAAATACAAGTGAGCACACCCTGCACTAGAGGTCTGGTTTAAACACGCCTTGAATACACTGGGGCAGGGATTAGCCAGTTTCCTGACTGGTCTGACTTCTCGTCTCGCTGTCAGCGACGCACATCAGCAGCAGGGAGTGTCTCGAGGCGACTGGCAGATTTAAACAGTGATGCGATGTCAGCTGTGATCTGAAGGGAAGGGGAGGGAAGGGTCACTACCTGCCCGCATGGATCCCTTCTTAGCCAGCCTCAGGAGTCCTTTCTTCTTGAGGATAAAGCTTCCACCGATGAAGATGCTGGAGCTTATGGCCAAAGCCAGGCCGATGTAGAAGTCGTACTTCCCCCGGTCCTGACCCATGGTGAGGCTGGATGAGTTGGACTGATTTCTCACATCTACCACCAAGCAGGGAAGATTCTCACCAAAGGAGCAGCTCTGCTCACCTGAAAGAAGAAAAACAAAACAGAAAACACTCATCAGATGCAACAGACTCCCCATCAACACTGACAGCAGGAACCTACCATTAAAACTGGAAACATTACAAAGTGGAAAGCCATAATCTGACAGATTGGAGGAATCCATCTGAGGTGCAGATCGCTGAGGAGCATATAATCCTCTCTGTCACCTCATCCCATACAAAGCAATGACTAAGACTGACCATATCCAACCGGTTGTCTGAGTGTTGTTACACATAAAAAGCCTTGCGAAACTCGGTCAGCTGCTATGCAAATGAAGGGATGAGGAATCAGGAAATAGCATTCCTCTGATGGGATTGATAATCTGGCCACGCCAGGTGCACCTTGTAAGGAAGATAATTTTCACAAAAAATCAGATTGGCTTTAACTTTATCATGAAGAGGTTTCAATAAAATGCTAACAAACGTTTCATTTGGCTAAACATAAGATACAGGTAGACCGGAAATGAAGGGTTAGCTCCTGTTAGCATCACTGCTAGCTGCCCAGCCGGCCGGCGGTTACCTGCTCAGAATGAGGCCGCTTCCCTCTGGAGGAAAAGCGAACAGCGGCGGGGAGAGGACGGCGTCTGGCCAGCCTGCTTCTTGGTTTGGTTTGTTCAGCGGCGTCACATGCTGCTTCCTCCACCTTTAACCGAGGAGCTCCGCAGGAGGACCGCCGCACAGCGAGGCTCTTCTTCTGCTTATCAGGGCAGCGCGGTGGACTGTGTGCCCTCCGCAGGCTGGAACCCAGAAGCACACAGATCATTGACAGACTGCTGGGATAGAGGGAGGATCACCGCTTACTTTATCTGACATCACGCTGGAGAGGGAATAACAAAAGCTTCATTCAAAATATTCCTACATTTTTAAGGGAAATTAAAGGAAAACTTGGGATCAGATTCAGATCAGAGGCGGTCCTAACTCACATGAGGCCCTGAGGAGGGCCCCAAAAATCTATATTTGTTCAGATTCTGATTCATCATTAGTCAGTTTGCAAAAATAATCATTCAGACAGTAGGCCAGATATATTAATTAAAATATGCTCTGTCTGCTTCAATGGGGCAACTATCAGTAAACAAAGATTGCAGTTGCTTAGGGGCCCCTGACCTCTTAGGGGCCCAATCACTGACTCCTGTTTGGCCCCCTGCTCAATTGTGGACTAGGACATCTCTTTGCAGTTGTAATGATTCAAAAATTTCTATTTTACCCGCCTGATGCTAATCTGTCTGACCGGACCTTATTTATAGCGCAACACATGGCAGATTTCACCACGATGGTGAGCCGTTTAAACACGACACCAATAGCAAAGCAGACGGTGGTACTTTTAATTACTATGTTATTAACTGTGTATAGTTCATTAGACTGTTAGTAAAAAATACACTTATATATGTAACATAGTTAAAATGGTTTTGTTTAAATCCTGCTGAAATGCACCATCTGCTGGTAAAAAAGTGCAACGCATTCACCTTAGACCGAACGGGGTATTATGGGTAATCCTTAGAACTACGAGCATCACTCATGAGGTTCTTGTGTCTCTGCTATGTGATAAAGAAATATTAGTTATGCATTTTATAAAATATGTTTATGGTTTTCGTTTTTTGCATATTATTGAAATATTTTTAGTCCAGGTTACGCTAGTCCTGTTATTATAACGTTTTTGTAGCAGTTTAGAAATGTTTAGTTCATGAGAAAGTGTGGTGGGAATTTCTCACGGAGTAACACTATGGCTCTTCCTTGCAGGAGCTTATTTTATGCCAGAGACTGACCTTACCTTATATGGAGGATAAAAAGTGCCAAAATTAAATAAATAAATACAGCATTAAATAAATAATTAAATGTGTCAATAATTAATAAACGTGGAATTAATAAATAAATGTGTCATTCATTAATTAAAACCACGTCACTAATATAAAGTGCCACAATTAAATAAATAAATACAGCGATATACAATTAATTAAATGTGTAATTCATTAAATAAAAAAATAATAAAAATAACCTTTTAAACTCACCCATCAAAGTTAGGGGCGGTTATCTAACACCTGATTGGTCACCCTGCACATTAAGGCGAAGCAAATCGATTACAGAGACTCGATTCGCGTTAACCCCGCCCCCTTGATGGGTGAGTTTGACAGATTCCTTTAATGGTTTCGATGCACTGCGACACAGGACCATGAAATAATTAAATGCACACTGAAATAATTATATATATTTTTTTAATAAAATGAAGACATATTTTATTAAATTAATGACACATTTATATATTTAATTCCTTATTTATTTAATGAATTACACATTTAATTGTTCATCGCTGTTCCTGTTTGGCTGTGACTCCATCCTGGAGAAAAATCAGCTGTGCTGCTGCCATCAACACAGTTGTTTATAGATGTTGGGAGATCAGCCTGTTTTTCAGTGTAGTCCTGTTTCTTTGGCTGTGACTGGCTGGATGTGCTCTCTTTATCCTCTGGCATGGGAGTTGACTCAAAGCTTGTCTGCCTGGCTGTGTGTTTCCTGGATGGGGCCGCCTTTTACAGTTGATTTTTGTTTCTCTGCTTCTGTCTCCTTGAACCCCAGTCAGCCTTGGCAGATGGCCGCTCACACTGAGCCTGTTTCTGCTGGAGGTTTCTTCCTGTTAAAAGGGAGTTTTTCCTCTCCACTGTCGCTACAAGCATGCTTAGTGTGAGGGATTGCGGAAGAGTCAAAGAGTCGATGCAATCAACTGGTTTTCCTTAGATAGAAAACTTTGAATCAATTTGACTGGATGATCTGGTTGAACTGTAAAGTGCCTTGAGATAACGTGTTGTGAAATGGCGCTATAGAAATAAACTGAACTGAATGTTCACGGATGTTTGTAAAATGCACTAAGGCTGCAGCCGAACCTCTGATGATGTATATAGACAACTTGTATATAGTAGCACAGTCCCCAGAGGAGCTCATGATGCACTATGTGATACTTATATCTCATCTGACAGCTCTGGGATTTTCAAATCGCAAAAAAAAAGCATTTTAACCCCAGTGCAAACAATCACTTTTTTGGCCCGTCTCTAAACTAGTATTGCGCCAATACCATTTTTTGCCCTGATACCTGGCTATGCATTATTAGCCGAACTTTTTATTGCCTACCTAACATGGGTGACGATAGTTGAATAAACTTTTGGCTCTCAAAATGGTATCGTGCCCTATTTGTTGGTACTCGCAGATACTGATACCACCATTTTAGTGCTTAATCGGAGCCCTGCCCAATACTGGTATCGGTGCATCAATACTCTAAACTCCAAAGAGTTCAGAGCGGGCTTCTTGGCAGAAAGAGTCTCAGCCTTTTGGGCTTGTCTGGCGCTCCTTAACAGAGGCACACATGTTACACTCAGGCTCTGCCACAGACTCCTGGCTCTAGTTGCATCAGTGCTGGCTGTCATCCAGTTTGGCCGTTAGGATACGCGACATTTCTAACATCACCAACGTAGGCACAAGTTCTGAGCCCGTGGAAAAGCACATTTCTCAAAACTGGGGTTTCCAATGGGGACCATGTAAATGAGCAAGGTCATAAACACAGATGCTCGTTGACAGGTTGGGGTGCCTCGCACGAGGGCATGACAGTGAATCCATTTGGAGCTCAGTGATGGAGACCTCACATAAACTATCTGGAGCTGCTGGTCGTGATGTAACTGAGACATTTTCTGCATTTTTTAAATCACGTTTTGTCTGGACAGACGATATAACTGTGGTTGCTTACATCAACAGACAGGGCGGTTTGCCCTCACAACAAGTAAACACACTGACAGTCAGACTGGTAATCTGGACCAGCTCACCCCTGTTGCCACTAAGAGTGATTTACATGCTAGAAGTGTCAGGGTTTGGTTGAGGTTTGAGGATCCAGATGCAGAGGCAGAGAGGCTGAGGAGATTTCTTGCAGTTTTAATTATGATAAAACAGAAAACAAAGGCAGGAATCCAAAAATCCAACTAATAATATAAATCAAATCGGAATCTGGGGAAACCAAACATGAGGAGCCAGGTAGAGACGAGGGAGGTAGAAAACAGCATGGGAAGACAGCAATGACAAGGATCCAACAAGGAGTGACAGCAGAGGGAGAGTATAAATTGCTGACTTGGACAAAGGCAGGGCTAACAAGCTGACAAGGAGCAAATGTGAGAGGAGATAACGAGGGAGCCAAGGGGAAAGGAACACACACACACAAGAGGGCAACAGAGGACAACAGAAAAACATGAGAGCTAATAAATCTAGAAATTACAACAAAACAGGAATTGAACCAATAAAACTAGAAAACAAGGAGCAAAGTACAGTACAACAGAACCAAGACCATGAGAAGAAGTCATGCTGTCGAGAGGCAATCTGGAGAGGCAGGGCCAGGTATCAGCTTTGCATCAGAGGAGATGATGGTCAGGGAGGTTTTTCTCCCTGACTGAGCAGGACGTTCTCCTGGGATTTGATCTGCTGGCACACAAGTGACCATAGGTTCTACTGTATGATTTTCCTCCACTGGAACTCATCCCTTCTACACTGAGCAGGGTGTGAGGAAGGAAACATGCTCATTCTGAAGCTGTTGGCCTTGGAGACAATGGCTAACAGAAATCTTCCAGTCACTCTACGATGAGCCATGGCAGCTCCCTCCTTGCAGAGATTTCCTCATGCAGGCATACGGGGAGATATTTCATACTCATCCAGATCGTATAGCTTTTTTGGGCCTCCTGGCCTGGGAGAGGGTGAATCTGACCACCAATGGGCTTTCCCAGAGTGTCGCTAACAAAATTCAGAGTGTAAGGGCTGCCTCCACAGAGCACATGAGAATAAATGGCATGCATTCGAGAGTTGGAGCACAAAAACCATGGTGAGCGCCATACAGAGCCCAGTGTCAGTTATTCTAACACTTTTGAAGGAACTGCTGGATAAAGGCTTGGCTTTCTCTACTGTGAAGGTATACCTTGTCCCTATTTCAGCTCGTCATCTTGGATTTGAGGACAAAAGTGTGGAACAAACCGACTGGTGTGCCAGTTCTTGAAGGGTGCCAGACAACGAGGAGCTTAACCCCACTGTGGGACTTACCTGTTGTACTTGAGGCCATTGTGTGCACCAGTTGAACTGTTGCATGAAGCTGAGCTCAGTACTGTTATTTCAAACCTTTTCTGATTGCAGTGCTTGGTGCTAAATGTGTGAACGATATTTAATCATTTTCAGTGAATCAATCCTGTTTGCTGTATGTTTTCCATTATGGACTCTAAGGTGGTACTGATCACAAACCCCACTTTAAACCCAACTCTGTCATAACATCCTCTTACTGTAAGTCTTAAATCTGAGCAGCTGTTTCTAACATGGTCTTCTCTACACCTGGGCTTGGCACCAAACTGTGGACCTCTATCTGTGCCAGTGCACGAAGCATGAGCTACAATCAAGAAAGATGAATGTTTGCCAAGTACTGATATCCTGGAAGGAAACCTCTTCCAGAGTGTTCAGGACCTCAGACTGGGCCCAAGGTTCACCTTCCAACAAGACAATGACCCTAAGCACACAGCTAAAATAACAAAGGAGTGGCTTGGAAACAACACTGTGATCATTCCTGACAGGCCGAGCCAGAGCCCTGACCTGAGCCCAATTGAGCATCTCTGGAGAAACCAGAAAATGTCTGTACCAATGGTCAGCATCCAACCTGACAGAACTGGAGAGGATCTGCAAGGAAGAATAGCAGAGGATCCCCAATTTAAAGATGTGATATATGTGTTGCATCATCCCCATAAGACTCATGACTCAAAAGGATGCTTCTACTCACCCTGAGCAAAGGGCCTGAATACTTCTGAAAATGTGATATTTAAATTTTTTTTTTGTAATTAATTTGCAAATATTTCAACATTTCTGTTTTTTTTTCTGTCAAGCTGGGGTGCTGACTGTACATTAATAAGAAATAAAATGAACTTTATTGATTTTAGCAAATGGCTGCAATGAAACAAAAGGTGAAAAATGTAAAGGGGTCTGAATACCTTCTGTACCCACTGTATATAAAGTCATTAAAGTTGTGCTAGCAGAAAGAGTGACTACGGTCGGTGACATCACTGTTTGCAACGTCTGAGCAAAACTGTGATAAGATAACATCTATAAAAATCTCCAATATGAATGTTTTTGAATTGCTTTATTACATTTTCAATCAATCAACAAGTCTGTATAAATAAAAAAAAGATCATGATTACATTGTTGAAAACAATTAAGTGTAGATAATATTAAGCCATTTATAACCTGCTCCAGACAATGTTTAGGGAGCAAATAATCAAATCCCTTCTGATTGAGAAGATACGGTTTCTTCTCATGTTTTATTCACCACCAGAGCTCCAGAAACATCTGAATAATTCAAACAGACACTGTCTAAGTTCAGGAGTAGATAACTCCAGGGGAGGTCATGCACGTACCCTGCAGAGGACCTGAAGCAGCCTTATTGGTTTACAACCCACTTTACAACCACTGCTTTACTCTGATAGGGGTCATATTGGACGGCTGAAGTTTGAAAAAAGTGGTAACAACTAGGAGTCATTATACAATAAAGGTTTTGTTTATTCTGGAATTAATTAATAATAGGGAGTAAAGGTCAGTCAGCCTTATCATTATGACTACCTGCCTGATATTGAAACTGAACACAAAGATCCAATGTATCACAAGTGGTTGAAATATTTGCTATTTTCTTTTACTTTTTTTCTCCACATGACAACCAAACATCAGTGGGCATCACTTCCTTCTCTGACCTCTATTTCAAAACTTTTTATTCTACAAATCTGTGCATTTGAACACCACCCTCCTCACCAAGCTAGTGAAGTCAAAATGTAAAGAATAAAATTGAAATATAGTGTTAATGTAATTAAAGATATTGCCAAAGCACGGACATGATTCCAAGTGCCTAAATTTGCACGGCATCATGAGCTCCCTTTCAGAGGATGTAGGCTTACGAAGCCTAAAAACATGCGGCAAAGCTGATCTGTCATCATTCATGTCCACTGACATTATTATGGGCTTTATTTTTGAAGTTTTTAATTTTCCTTATTGAAAGATCAACTTTATTCTAAATACTATATTTCAACTTTATTTCCAACTGTTAGACTTAATTCTGATATAGTGCTGAACCAATCGGATGAATCAATTATTGAACTAATAGTTAATTATTTTAGCAATCGATTAATTGTTAACTGGAGTATAGACTGTAAAATATTCCTTTAGCAAATAGAGCGACCCACTTAGAGCAGTAATTATACCAACATTGTGAAAAAATAAATGAATATTCTGCATTTAAGATAAAGAAACTATATATAAGAATCTATATGCTTTATCCAGAACTCCTAAAGTGGAAAAGATTTAGTTTTACCTGGTTTAATTTCGTAAAAAGTCTTCTTTTGCTATCCGATTATTAATCGATAAAATAATCAAATAAATAATGGCAAAATAATCCTTAGTTGTAGCCCTATTCTAAATATTTCAATTTTACTGACTTGGTGAGAAAAAGGGGGGAAAGCATACTTTTATTTTTTCCTCAATGTGGCCCTAATTGTAAAAATCCAACTCTTTGAATTACTCAAAATTAGAATTAAACTGCAAAATGTTTTTTTTTTTTATTTACAAAAGACAGAAAAAAATAAATACTGATTACCACTAATGGGCACAATCTCTCTACCAGCATCGTAGGCAGGAGAAAGAGACTTTTTAGGATTAGCTCACATATAAAGTTGCATACCAACATGGACCTCTCCTTTAACAGCAATACAGTAGCTGTATTTACACTGTTATTACTCTGTTAATTAAAAAAAAGGCAAAGTTTTTCAGTTGCAGTATTTCCATTAACTAAAAATTACAATTACATTTTCAGATGAATGTGTTTGTTCACACGATGACTCTTAAACCACATGGCAGCAGTGGATGTAAACACTTATATAAGACAGAATCCATATTTCGGCCACAGCTCTAGTGCTCATCGCGCTCATCTCCTGAGCTAAATGTAAAACATACTCAGTCTGCTGATCAAATGGTTCTGGACGTCCTTAGGTCCTGGTATAAACAGTGGGGCGATCGTTCCTTTGTGGTTACCACACCTAAACTATGGAACAACCTGCCCCTTGGTCTGGGGGTTCTCATAGATCTGCACCTTTTTAAATCCAGATTAAATGCTTTTTTTTTTTTTATTGTATGGCACTAGTGGTTCATTTTTCTGATTGTAGGCTGACAGGAAAGGGTACGGAAGAGGATTAGGGCCAGCGGAAAAAAAAAAAAAAGTTAACTGATTTTTACATTTTATTTCAGTTTAGTATGGGAAAAAACTCAGAATTCTGACTTTTTTCTCAGAATTCTGACTTTAATCTCAGAATTCTGACTTTTTTTATTGTCAGAATTCTGAGATTAAAGTCAGAATTCTGAGAAAAAATTCAGAATTCTGAGTTTTTTCCCATACTAAACTGAAATAAAATGTAAAAATCAGTTAACTTTTTTTTTTTTTTTTCGCTGGCCCTAATCCTCTTCCGTAAAAGGGGGTATGAGAGAGAGGTAGAGACATGCGGGAAAAGACCACAAGCTGGATTCGAACCCGGGTCTGCTGCGTCGAGAACTAAGGCCTCCGTATATGGGTAGTGCTCACTAACCACAGCGCAACCTGCACGCCCAAAGACTCATTTTTTTAAAAATGGCTTTTAAGACTTAGGACACATTTTTTTATGCTTACGATTTTAGTTTATTTTTGTTTATGCAACGTTTTTATCTTTCTGTGAAGCACTTTGGTCTTCCTGGTGTTGTTGTAAAGTCCTATATAGATAAACTTTGATTAGATTTAATTCAGTCTCCCTATAAATCCAAATAAGTCCCACTAGTATCATCCTGCAAACAGCCCCGGCCTTCGCAGTTTTTTTTTTTCACAAGGCAGTAAGGTCCAGTTGTGGATCATTGCAAAAAAGTGTTTTTCATTAGAATTTTATGGAAAATAATAATAAGAATTTCCATGTGAAGCGCAAAAGTGTTTAAGTGAAAAATGTGAGTTTTTTTTAAATTGCAGTGGTTATATTTAGCAGATTCATTTCCTTAATTAACATTTGGGCAATTTAAATGTTAATGTAAACACAGTTTTATGGGTGTACTGGTCCATTGCCTATCCTATTCTGGCCCATGGTCTGTCGCCCAAAAGAGCACAGAATGACCAATCAGCAAGATGTCACCTGACTGTATAAAATAAAATGTGTTCAAATTTGTGGTTGTGAGATAAGTACTCCTGCAAGGCACCTTATAGTTACTATAATTCAGCTTTACAGCCTCTTTTCAAGTTAACTCAGGGGTTGGCAACCCGCAGCTCCAGAGCTGCATGTGGCTCTTTAGCGCCCCCTTGCGGCTCTCTGGAGCTTCGTGCAGGAGGTCAAACAAACATTAATTGTTTTCCAATGCTGTAAATATTTGTATAATAAATAAATTTAAATTTGAGTCATAACCATAGAGATCAGTGGTCATAACCTGCAACCAGCGCGGCGCGGTGCCGGGCAAACAAACCTGCAGGTGTTTCTCAGAACATGGATTCCAAAGGGAAAAAAGGAAGATAGGTGATGAGAAAAGAGGATTCAAAGAGTTGACCGAATCATTTGCTTTCATTATCAATGCGGAAGGATTGCCTGCATTTTTGCTTTGTAATGAGAGGTTTAAAAAAAAGAAAAAAGAAAAAGGAAAGTAAGTTTCCAGGGAAGACTAAATACGCAGCTGATCACAAAGTTGGGAGTGAGAGAAAAAGTGCATTTGCAGAACTTCTGGATGAATGAAAGGAGAGCAAAGATAGATTTCCTCCCTCGCCTCATCCTGCTATGTGACATTTGCTCCAGGATAAACATTTAATCTTGAGTGCTTATTTTACATTTCAGCCCACATAGTCCTCTTCTTTAGTGGGATAATACACTTAGTTTCATACGAGGCATATATAAGACTTTTACATTTTTGCAGCTCCAGACAGATTTATTTTTTGGTTTTTTGGTCCAATATGGCTCTTTGAGCAGTTTGGTTTGCCAACCCCTGAGTTAACTGAATCCTTATTTCTGCTGTTGACACAAACCCTTTAGGCACAGAATGTCATTTTCTTTTATACCAAATCCGAGCTTCTGTTCATTTATAAACTGCCACGACACACTCACTGTTTTCTTCCTCACATTGATCTGGTCAAAGGTCACGGCTGACCGATGCATCTTGTAGCTTTGGTCACTAATATGGGATGTAGTTCAGAGCAAACAGAGTTTCAGTCTGATTTTGTCCGTGCCTCCTTCTCCTTCCAAGTAATCAGAGCTTCCTGAGAGATTCTAAGTAAGATCACTCCTACACACACCGTTGTTAAACCGCAGAGCATGGCCAGGCTGTCGCTCACCGTGAGTGCCGTCCACTCCTTAAACAGGAGGGCAGAGGCAAAGATCACGGTGGACGTAAACGTCACGTAATATATAGCTTCGAATATGTTGGAGCTGAAGCTCTCCAAGGCTTTATTGATGAAGAAGAACTGGATCAGGATGCTGAGCGCTAGCGCCCCCAGCAGGCCAAGGAAGAGAGCCAGGGCTCTGGTGTTCGACGGCCCCTCAGTAAACACATCAGGGGCCACCAAGCCGAGCCCTTTGCTGCTCGGAACGGTGAAGCTTCCCAGGAGCGAACATATGGCGATGTACACCATGATGTTGGATGTGCCGTGAGCCGGAGCGACCCACACGATCAGAGCGATCAAAAGCAGGACCACGAGCACGATGTAAGTTACAAACACTGCGAGACAGAAAAATCCAAGGGTGAGCGACGCAATCCAGCATATTTCATCCGAATAATGTGAAGAGTTCATCACCTGGATCTGACAGCCTTTCTTCAAACTCCTCTCTAGATGCGGCCACCTCTTTAGGGGCGTGGATAATCAGCAAGACCGCACCACTGCAACAGAGCACACATCCGAGCTTCCCGAGGATGTTTAAATGTTCCTCCAGGATCCAAGAAGCCAGCACAGCACTGCATCACAAAAAAACATTACTACATTATATACATGTAAAAGCCAGTAAATTAGAATATTTTGAAAAACTTGATTTATTTCAGTAATGCATTCAAAAGGTGTAACTTGTACATTATATTTATTCATTGCACACAGACTGATGCATTAAAATGTTCATTTCATTTAATTTTGATGATTTGAAGTGGCAACAAATGAAAATCCAAAATTCCGTGTGTCACAAAATTAGAATATTGTGTAAGGGTTAAATTTTGAAGACACCTGGTGCCCAAAACTAATCATCAGCTGATTAACTCAAAACACCTGCAAGGGGCTTTAAATGGTCTCTCAGTCCAGTTCTGAAGCCTACACAAACATAGGGAAGACTTCAGATTTGACAGCTGTCCAAAAGGCGACCATCGACACATTGCACAAGGAGGGAAAGACACAAAAGGTTATTGCTGAAGAGGCTGGCTGTTCTCAGAGCTCTGTGTCCAAACACATTAATAGAGATGCAAAGGGAAGGAAAAACTGTGGTCAGAAAAAGTGCACAAGCAATAGGGATCACCGCGCCCTAGTCAAGATTGTGAAAAAAAACCCATTCAAAAATGTGGGGGAGATTCACAAGGAGTGGACAGCTGCTGGAGTCAGTGCTTCAAGATCCACCACCAAGAGACGCTTGAAAGACATGGGTTTCAACTGCTGCATACCTCGTGTCAAGCCACTGTTGACCAAGAAACAGCGCGAAAAGCGTCTCACCTGGGCTAAGGAAAAAAAGAGCTGGACTGCTGCTGAGTGGTCCAAAGTCATGTTTTCCGACGAAAGCAAACTTTGCATTTCCTTTGGAAATCGAGGTCCCAGAGTCTGGAGGAAGACAGGAGAGGCACAGGATCCACGTTGCCTGAAGTCTACTGTAAAGTTTCCACCATCAGTGATGTTTGGGGTGCCATGTCATCTGCTGGTGTCGGTCCACTCTGTTTCCTGAGATCCAGGGTCAACGCAGCCGTCTACCAGCAAGTTTTAGAGCACTTCATGCTTCCTGCTGCTGACCTGCTCTATGGAGATGGAGATTTCTGGTTCCAACAGGACTTGGCGCCTGCACACAGCGCAAAATCTACCCATGCCTGGTTTACGGACCATGGTATTTCTGTTCTAAATTGGCCAGCCAACTCCCCTGACCTTAGCCCCATAGAAAATCTGTGGGGTATTGTGAAAAGGAAGATGCAGAATGCCAGACCCAAAAACGCAGAAGAGTTGCAGGCCACTATCAGAGCAACCTGGGCTCTCATAACACCTGAGCAGTGCCAGAAACTCATCGACTCCATGCCACGCCGCATTAATGCAGTAATTGAGGCAAAACCAAGTATTGAGTATTGTACATGCTCATATTTTTCATTTTCATACTTTTCAGTAGGCCGACATTTCTAAAAATCCCTTTTTTGTATTAGCCTTAAGTAATATTCTAATTTTGTGACACACGGAATTTTGGATTTTCATTTGTTGCCACTTCAAATGATCAAAATTAAATGAAATAAACATTTGAATGCATCAGTCTGTGTGCAGTGAATAAATATAATGTACAAGTTACACCTTTTGAATGCAATTACTGAAATAAATCAAGTTTTTCAAAATATTCTAATTTACTGGCTTTTACCTGTAGAGTCCAAAAGGTGTTTGAGGCTATTTAAAAAAAAAAAACAAATCTCACTTTATTAAATCAAGCTTTTCTTATTTCTTTAAAAATAAATAAGTGTATACATTTAAATACATTTACCCTTCTGAGCTAACTTCCCACTGTCATAACAGCTGCAAACTTTTTAGATGTCTCGACCAGCTAAGGTTCAACTCTTTTGCAGCCTCTAACAGGTTTTCTGGCTGGAGTCGGACTGACCCCGATTTTAGCTTCATCCATCTTTCCTCAGATGATAAACTGAGCATTGCTTCCTGAGCCTGCCCTTGCAGAGCACAGCATACACTTCCCAACCATGAGATCTCATCATTACACAGGGTACCCCTATTAATCTTAATTACTTTTATTTCTAAATATTTGGGTGTTTGCAGCGGCTATTTCAGTTTAATATATCTAATAACTGATGGAAACGGTAATATTTCAGTATTGAATAGAGGTTTATTGGACTAACAGAAAATGTGCAGTACAAAAAGAGACATTATTTAGTATATTCTCCTTTTGCGAAAACAACAGCCTCCAGTGGCTTCCTGACGCTTTGAATGAGTTCCTGGATCCTGGATGAAGGGATTTTTGACCATTCCTCTTTGCTAAACAATTCCAGTTCAGTTAAGTTTGATGGTTGCTGAGCATGGACAGCCTGTTTCACATCATCCCACAGATGTTCAATGATATTCAGCTCCGGGGATTGGGATGGCCATTCCAGAACATTGGAATTGTTCCTCTGCATGAATGCCTGAGTAGATTTGTAGCGGTGCTTTGGATCATTGTCCTGCTGAAATATCCATCCTTAGGGTGACTTCAACTTCATAACTGATTGTTTAACATTATTCTCAATAATCTGCTGATATTGAATGGAATCCATGCGACCATCAACTTTAACAAGATTCCCAGTGCCAGCATTGGCAATGCAGCCCCAAAGCATGATGGAACCTCCACCTAATTTTACAGTGGGTAGCAAGTGTTTTTCTTGGAACGCTGTGCTTTTTTTGCCGCCATGAAAAACGCCTTTTTTGTGACCAAACCACTCAGTCTTTGTTTCATCAGTCCACAGGACTTATTCCAAAGTGAAGCTGGCTTGTCCAAGTGTGCTTGGCATACCGCAGCGATTCCATTTGTGGCGTGCTTGCAGAAAAGGCTTCTGTCGCATCACTCTCGCATAGAGCTTCTCCTGGTGCAAAGCGCGCTGAGTTGTTGAGCGATGCACAGGGACACCATCTGCAGCGAGATGATGCTGCAAGTCTTTGCAGGTGGTCTATGGGTTCTCCTTGACCATTCTCACCTTTCTTCTTCTCTGCCTCTCTGATATGTTTCTTGGCCTGCAACGTCTGGGCTTAACTAGAACTGTCCCTGTGGTCTTCCATTTCCTTACCATGTTCCTCTAAATGGAAACTGACAGTTTAATATCCTTCCCCTGGACGACTATCTTGAACAATCTTTGTTTTCAGATCATTTAAGAGTTGTTTTGAGGCGCCCATGATGAATCGTCAGAGGAGATTCAAACAGGAGAACAACTTCCAACTGGCCATTCAAATCTTACTGAAGTTACCAAACCAATTTTGCATTTCAGTAAGTCAGTGAAAAGTAGCTAAGAGTATTCATATCAATAAAATGATTAGGGTACCCACATTTTTGCACCTATCAACTTTTGTTTTAATACATATTGCACATTTTCTGTTAGTCCAATAAACTTCAATTCAATAGAGAAATATTGCTGCGTCAATCAGTTATTAGATATATCAAACTTAAATAGATGTTGCAAGCACCTAAATATTTAAAAATAAAAATAATTAAGATTAATAGGGGTGCCCAAACTTTTTTCATATGACTGTACCAGAACAGCTGTAAAGTTTCAAATAAAAGCATTATATAATAGAATAACAACTTGCATGCTAATAAACATTGATTAAACACGGAGTAAAATCAGAAACTGCAGGAACATCATTCCCACAGCATGATATCGCCACTACCGATTGGTAACCATCAGGTTTAGCTAAAACTTACCCAAAAAGCACTCCAAGAGCCCCTAAAGGTGTAACTATCACAGCAGGGGCCAGGTTATATGCCAGGAAGTTTCCAATTTGGCCAATTATCACTAAGAAGCCATTGACAGACATGTTAACAATTAGATAAGAACGAGGATATTAAAGGAACATGGTTACTATTAATGTGATACTCACTACACAGTGTACCACTGCACCACACCGCATCTGTGAGGTACGAACATCCTGGAAGATATCCACCAATCAGTGTTGTCTTTGAGACTTCATTCACTTTTTTATGCATCTCGTGATAACTATTTAAAGTTCCTTTTCTTCCTACCTTTGCTACGAGACCGCAGTATCCCCTTTTTCTGAAGCACAAATGTCGATCCATTAATAAAGCTTGAAATCACAGCCACTGCTATCCCTAGCGGCGCTCCAGACAGTCCTAAATCATCGGCCATTACTGTACTTTGAGACGCCAACTGATAACCTGATCGTTTCCCGGGGAACAGCGCCACCCAGTGGCTGGTTTTCCCTCAATCCAGGTCAACTCCGCCTCTTCTATGTCCCGCCTCCAATACCAAAATCGGTGGACGGTTTATTATTTCCTGCTCACCCCGCGCGGGCGGAGCACTATCCGAAATAACACAAACCCCGCCTCGGGAGGAACGGGGAAACATATCAATCGCGTTTCATCTACCAGTAAGGACTGCGTAATTTGTTTCCATGCCTCCTTCCCTGGTCCACAATCCGTCAATCAAATCCATTATGAACGTCTGGTTAATGCAGTAAAGCAGCTGAGGGGGGACAAGAATAACTTGACAATTGTTTCGCAGGTAATATATAAATATATTGTTGTGTTGCTAGATTATCCTGAACGCGGTGTCCCTCTTTGGTCTGCAGTGATGCCTGGATGACGGAAGCTAGATTAGCCGAGGATAGCTAGCGTTGTGTAAATGTTAGCTGGTTAGCTGGTTAGCCGGTGACTTGGTCCTAAAGAGAAAGCTAGCCAGCGGTTACAGGCTGCGGTGATGCTGTGTCAGAGGACCGGGGTTAGCCGTTGGGAGAGTTTCTGTTGTCACCTATGCTAACACCGCTGTGCCTTTGCTAGCATTCACAGCTTCCCTGGGATTCATGAAGGCTTTAAAAGCTGCACATTTCTGGCCTTTAATCGTTCATGAAGTCATAGAAAACCTAAACAGCTGATGTATATCAGTTTTTATTGATCAGGTAGCATGTTTTATCGCTTTTAATGTTAATATTCACGAGTGCTGAGAGCTTTTTGTTGAACCATATGTCAGATATAGGAAGTCTAGATTAGTTTTTAGCATCTAGGAACATTTAATATGCGTCAGCTACAACTGCATATGTATTCACAGTAAATAATAATCCCTCCCAGTTAGTTATACTGATGTAGTAATATGTCATGGCCTTTTTCAATTCATTTCAATTCAGTTTAGTTTATTTATATAGCACCAATTCACAACACCAGACTCTTTCATGTTAGGGTTTTTCATTTCAGAATAAGCTTTCAATTTCAATAGTTGTTTTCAAAACTATATAACAAACTATGTTATAGTTAAAGATAGGGGCTACTTTATGTAATGGACCAGTTATCGGCATACTGTTAAAATAGTAAATATCACAATAAACCTACTAGATGCACTGTTTGTTTATTGTATTTTAAGCATTTTAAATTCTATGCACCTTTTAAGCTGTTTGGCCTGTTTTATAGTTTCTTGATGACCACAGTGATGGAGGTTGATGTATTTTTTTTTTTATTCTTCTTGCTTGTTTTTTGTTTTTGTTTTTTACAGGCTGGATAAACTGGTGAAAAGAATTGTCAGAAAATTGTTGGTTTATCTCAGTATTATCTTTGCCATGCTCAACATTAACATAGCAATCAATCGTTTTGTTCTAAAAAACAAACAAATAAGCTGCACTTTTAAATAGGTGAGAGCGACGTTGTTACTTTCTGTGATGCCAATTATCCCCAGTTTAACAGAAAGGCTTTATCCTTAAAATCAGAGTGTTTCTTCAGTTTCTCCCCCTTTTTTACCTATATGTCTCCGTTTTCTTCACTCATATCTCCATTTTATTTATAGAAAATCTGAAATCTTACCAAATTTCTGAAAACATTTGAGATTGTTTTGGTTTCTGTCTAGTTCCCCTTTTGGACCAGTTGACCCTTATGACCCCTGATCAAACCAAAATGTCTCCAGATGGGAGAGGCTGTTAATATATCACATTACGTTTCCTTTAAGTCGACTGGAGTAGATTCATTGTGAATGTAAATTGACGTATGAACCCTCTTGTATCTGTAAAAATGTGCAGTGATCAGGAAGATGAACAACCCCTGCTGTTTTCTTCCGCTGTTTTCTTCCACTGTTTTCCAGTTGTTCACCAATCCACTGCTTAGTGCAGCTGAAGTAAAATCATAAAGGAATCCTTTAAGGTGGAGAGAGTGGCGTTTGCTTTAACGCCGTGTCGTCTGACTTCTCATTTCTGTGTGCTGCTGTCAGCAATCAGTAGGTCAGCTACTTCCTCCTGAATACTTCAGGATAATGTTTTCTAAACAGGTCATAGCTCATTCATTAGTCAAGTGTTCAGAGATGGTATTTAAGGAAATAACAATTATTACAGATGATCAACCTGCACCTTAGAGATGGCATTAACAAACAATTATTTAGCAAATCGGGTAAATCTGTTGATTATTTTTTTGATGAATCAATTAATAATCAGATAGCCAAAGATTCCTTAAAGGAATAGTACACCCAAAACATGATTAGCCTTCATTTTCTACTCACCCCCATGCTGAACAAAACTCTGGAGTACTTTTTTGATATCTCAAATGCATCTGGAGATCTGGGAGGCTTCTTGCTGTCTGCTGACATTCAAATAATGGAGGTCTATGGTGACCGAGACAGAAAGGTCCATAAAAGTCCACAAAAACGTGTCAATATTCCTCCATACTGCTCGTCCAATGTAATCCAAGTGTCCTGAGTGGGTAGCATCCAGAATTTACTCGAAACGAAGTGATTTAGAACGTTTTAGAGCATAAACAGTAGTGTATAGGATTTCCTAATAGCGCCCCCATGCGCGCTCACGATTCTACGGAAGCCGGCAGACCAAACCGGAAGAAAGTGCGCATTCAGCGTCTGCTCTGCCGATAATGCAAGCGTAGAAGAAGAAATGTGCTGTTTACCTGTGCAAAGAAAGAAACAACGAAAGAAAAATGTCTGAGGACTTCAGTGTTGAGGAAGAGCATGAGTTCTTTGCCGAGCTGAATGCGCTGGTTTGGTCTGCCGGCTTCCGTAGAATCGTGAGCGCGCATGGGGGCGCTATTAGGAAATCCTATACACTACTGTTTAGGCTCTAAAACGTTCTAAATGACTTCGTTTCGAGTAAATTCTGGATGCTACCCACTCAGGACACTTGGAATACATTGGACGAGCAGTATGGAGGAATATTGACACGTTTTTGTGGACTTTTATGGACCTTTCTGCCTCGGGCGCCATAGACCTCCATTATTTGAATGTCAGCAGACAGCAAGAAGCCTCCCAGATCTCCAGATGCATTTGAGATATCAAAAAAGTACTCCAGAGTTTTGTTCAGCATGGGGGTGAGTAGAAAATTAAGGCTAATCATGTTTTGGGTGTACTATTCCTTTAATGAAGAAGTTTTCCAAAATTAAACCAGGTAAAATTAAAAAATTTGGTTCTGGTTAGAGCGCTTTGATGGCCGAATTAAAAAAAAAAATTCAAAGATACAAAATTGTGGTATATTCTTTTAAAATGTTAGTATAATTACTGCTCTAAGTAGGTCGTTCTGTCAGCTAAAGGCATGTTTTAGAGTCTTTATGCTCCAGTTAAGGATTAATCGATTACTAAATTAGCTGAAAATTATTTAAATAATCGATTAATGCGCTTATCGTTTCATCCACATACAAGATTAAACCATGAAACCTCAACTCTGCACCCACTTCACCTGTTTGTTTTTTGTTTTTGTGTTTTTTTTGTCCCCATCTCCCTCCAACCTCCAATCTGACGTGACTTTCAGCTCAGGTGATCCTGGAAGCTGCTGCTGCAACTTTTTGTTAATGTCTCTGTTCAACAAAGCTTTCCACATGTTACAGGTTGGCTGCGTTTGCAGCCGGGAGAGGCGGGAGGGGGGGGAAGATGCCTTCTCCATCTTTCACCCTGGATGCTCAGCTGAGATATCATGACAAATGGCTGAAGATAGACTTACAGGTATGTAACCACGACAAGGCAAAGGTGATAAACGCTGCTCAGATTTCTGAATTCTGTCACAGTCAGAAAGGAAATTCATTCTCCTCAAGTCCTGTGTTCAAATGACCGTTTAAAGAAAAGTCCATATTTTTCTCAGCCTGTTGCTTTATGTACAAAAAAAAATCAGTGACATAATGACAGTTTGGTTAAAATTTCCACAGGTAGTTAATTACAATAAGCCACATGTGTGGTCATGAAGTTGTACTTTTCCATCCCTGGAAAAGCTACAGCAGTAACTCCTTACAGGTCCTACCAGTTTTATTGGCATTTTTAGTTAAAGATATGGAAGAAGCATTGGATAAAATTCTGCTCTTCTTTCAGAATTAAATTAATTAAACAGAGGGGAAGTTTATAGATCCAATCCTTATTTTGAGCCTTTTGTTTCAGTGTAAAACTAATTCAGTTTCATCTATACCATTGGTTATGAGATTAATTGTAGTCATTTCCTTTGTAGCCCTATTAATCTCTTAATGTGGTTGAAACTGTTTTTTGTTAAAGTCGGTCATTCATATTTGTTTGTCTCACTTCAGATTACAAAGCTCATATGTTTGATTACACAGAATAAAATGATTCCCCTCTTATATTTCTTTCATTTCAATGATAGTTTATACAAATAATGAAAACCTGAAATCTAATTAATTTTTAGTTTTTAGAAAATTACAAACTAGTAATAAAAAGTAAGTAGTCTTATGCTACGTTCACACCTAAAGCAGCAAGAGCAACAAAAACGCGTGTGTTGTTTCATTTTTGATGCGTGTACAGATTTAGCTCTGACGTGCGGCTGAAGCATTGGAAAAGTGGGTCTGATGTGCGTTGGGCGGAGCTACCCTATATATTTTTTTGCCTGTAACAATGGCAGCTATATTTGCTGTGATCAGTGAGTAAAAAGTAGTTTGAATGTTTTTAAGTGAGAAAGTCCACCTGAAAACTTCATCAGTGCAGTCAGTTTATCCAGACAACCATCCTGCCTTCAAATATTATTTCTGTCAGAGCCGCTCAGACCCCCGTACATCGGCGGTGCTCTGTAACTAGGAATCCCGTTCAACAGCAGCCTGTGGCCTGGTCGCCTCTTCGTGGTTTGCTGCGGCCGCTGGCAGGTGTTTTTAATGTACGTAATCCAAACTGCAGGCACCGGGATAATAAAAGTGAACGTGTTTTACCTGCAGACTTCAGCATTTTAAGTTAATTTAGGTGTTACTAAACTGTTTCAGAGG